TTCCAGTGAACAAGTTTAAAAACCTGAAAATAAAACTTAAGTATATCTTTCCAGTATTTTAGAAAACACATTACTGTTTTTAGTAATTCACCCAGATCCCTCATGAATATCAAGTGGTTGGCTCATAGCTCCAGCCGGAATTTTAATTAAGACCCTAAGCACCAAAGTGTAAGGATTATAGGCATTAATTACAAATTCATGGGAAAATAGGAAATGTTTAGGTACGCTGGAATGTCAGTTAATCCCACTGCCCCTAGGTGTACAGAACAGAGGTGTACATCGTTTACACTTACTGCCAGGTCGGGGGGTATAGATTTAACATGTTTACCTTACAAATTAGGTCAAGCGGTGTAAGGGTAGGTCCCTATTATGGCAGATCCCTATCATGACTACACCTGATTTAACTGAGCCCTTCTGGGACAAGATGGCTGTCCCGTTACATAACGTGTTGACATGCCCCAGTATATGTTTACGTGTGTGAGGTGAGGGGTGGGGTTTGAGGCACTTCGCACAAATACCTGGGTTTTATCAAAGAACAACATAGGATAAGCGCCAGTGTTTGGAAACTTGGCAATATATAAAGGAACATTTTGTGTACATGGTACTGAAACTTATGAGTCATGTTAATATGGTAGACTGCTATAGAGCTGTAATATTGCTGAGTGCGGCACAAAACTAAACTAAAATGGTTGACAAATGGCCCTTTTCCTTACTTTTGTTACTTCTGTGTGTGATGAAAACCTTCAGGATGACCAAAAACAGCTTGTTGTTTTTTAAATTCAAAAGGAAACATTCTGACCCAGGAACATTCTTTTTATCGGGAGCAGGACAGTTCCCACCCGGACAACTGCCACCGGACAATTCCCACCTAGGACAATTCCCACCCAGACAATTCCCACCTAGGACAATTCCCACCTAGGACAATTCCCACCCAGACAATTCCCACCTAGGACAATTCCCACTAGGACAATTCCCACCTAGGACAATTCCCACCCAGACAATTCCCACCTAGGACAATTCCCCACCTAGGACAATTCCCACCCAGGACAATTCCACCCAGGACAATTCCCACCTAGGACAATTCCCACCTAGGACAATTCCCACCTAAGACAATTCCCACCTAGGACAATTCCCACCTAAGACAATTCCCACCTAGGACAATTCCCACCTAGGACAATTCCCACCTAAGACAATTCCCACCCAGTTATTTTCACTCTAAGTTTCACTATAATGATGAGGACAATTCCCACTATGATCATCACAGACAAGTACAAGTTGACTGGAGCGGGAGAAACCTTCCCTTACCTTTATGTATGTCACAAAATAGTGCTTCCTTATTTTAAAAACATGCTATTATTTGTTGTGTATTAAATAAGATCAATAAGATCTATGTCTTTCCAAGTAAAAGCAGGTCAAGTCCAATATTTTCTTCAGGTCATATACACTACCCCCAATAAATCCAATTCTTTCAGGGACGGTGGGGTAGCCTTGTGGCTGAGGTGTTCGCTCATCACGCTGAAGACCCGGGTTCAATTCCCCACATGGGTACAAAGTGTAAAGCCCATTTCTGGCCCATAATTGCTAGAATATTGCTAACACTGGCCTAAAACTAAACTCACTCAAGTTATTTCATAGTACTACCATTAACTGGTCATGACATGGCAGTTTAATATGCAGTATGAAAGAATTAAGTTATCTTTTATCTTCTTTTGAGCAGTATATTTATAATGGCTTCTTGAAAGATCAGAAAAAAAATCTAAATAATAAGCCAGTCTGACACATTTGACTCTTTAACAGATAGTGCTGTAAGTTCAAAACATGTTTGTGTTGTATGAAACAATGTCTAGTTCTCACTCATGTGAATATATCAACTACATGTTCATAATTATTCTGAATTATGCAGATCATGTGGGTAAGTAAGGGCCATTATCCCATCTTGTCCTTGAACAGTTGTGTACATACAGGTCCTGATAAGGAGCTCCCACGGTTATCTTGGGTCACTGTATGACAGATAGTCTTCTTATACTGTGGAACTATAGGCCATAGCATGATAAGTGGAAATATAGGGGTACACTATCATAACTGCAGACATTATTCTTTGAATTACAACACTTTATTCTGTGCTAATATGTAATATTTTGCTAAATACAAATGTATGTTATCTGTAAAATTTTGAGTTACCCAATAATCTTTGATGGCAATGTTTTAGAAATTCATAATCCTTTTATAAATCCGAGATTGCTAAACTGTTTTTCAAATTAGCATTTTCATTTAAAATTGTAATAACTTATTTCTCATTTGAGATTGAATTGTCAAACTCTCAGATAAGGTTTTATCATAACTTGCTTTGTATCTGAAAGTTGTAACCTTTTCCTCATTCTGCAATCATGTGTACCCTTTGTCGGAACCCATTCCTAGCAATAATTTAGATGGTCATCAAGTTGTCTCTGAATGTTTCACATTGTCATAACCCTCAACATTGTACTTACAGTAACTGAAAGCCCACAAAATGGCCGTAACTTGAAATAATTGCACACTTTAATTCTTAATTTGTTTTCATTTGTCATGATATATTTACATATTCATTTACAAATATTCTTGCTTAAATTTACAATCTTCTCAATTCTGTAAAAGTGATGTTTTCTCCTATGATGTAATGTCCTAGGATGAATGTGTTCTGACCACAAGATCAGTATCTCCTAGCACTGTTTGTACACAGGAGTGGTTTGCTACCCTCACAATGACCCACCCTCAAGTTGACGGGGACATGCTTGGGGGTTGCTCTGGGACTGGTCTTGTTTACCTTCACTCTGTGACAATAATGACTTACATCACCGGAGTAGATGGCGGACATATCAGAGTCTCTACCTCCATCCTCTCTATAAGGATGATGTAACAGACATTTATGGGCATTGTGTAATAAGATGCTCATCAAACTTTAACCTTTTCAGGTCACATGACTTGGAGAGGTCAGGTTAAGGAAAGTGTATTTGTCTTGAACAAATGTATTTATACCTATTTATGTGTTTGTGTTAGATAACATCTCATCACAATTACTGCTGGACATGGACACCTGATTTGACTTGAACTGCGTTTCTGTAACTACGTTTCACATGAACAGGAACAATTTTTATGAATAGACAACTTCTTTATTGCAAAGGATGCGATGCTTCAGTGTAGACACTAACATGGTTATCACTGACTGACTGACTGAGTTTGGTTTTACGCCGCTTTTAGCAATATTCCAGCAACATCACGGCGGGGGAAACCAGATTGGGCTTCACACATTGTGCCCATGTGGGGATTCGAACCCGGGTCTTTGGCATGACGAGCTAACGCTTTAACCATTAGGCTACCCCACCGCCCCACATGGTTATCAAGCTGGTGATACACATCATTAAGGACAAGGAAGCCTAGGTTTCACATGTACATCAGTGCAGATTTCTATGCGGATGTTGATCATCATCCTTCTTCTTGGTATCCCTGGTCCAGTGTTGTCACCTGAAGTCATCCCTTGTTCTGAGAGAGGACCAATGGAGATTGAGCACAAACATCATGCTTTAGCCATCGTTTCATATGTTGTATGTGTTGAAGTGATGACTAAATACATATTCGTTCCAAAAACATTTTGTAGTTTCTTTTACTGCAGTGTAATATTTTTACAGCAATATTACACTAGTGTAATACCGCTAGACATATGACATCATAATGGTTACAGTTATGACATCACAATGGTAATACCTCTGTCACAATGGTATTAGACCTTGCTTGACTCGCGGAAAGCTGAAAGTCATCACACTGATTGTAGGCAGTTTCTATCAATTTATGTTGGAGAGTAATAAACAGAATACTAAACTCGCTTCCGTGAAATACCATTTTTATAAAATTCGTGAAAGATTTAGCATCAAACTCGCTTTTGCTCGTTTGATACCAAATCATTAACTCGATTAATAAAGATGGTATTACATGGAAGGTCATTTAGTATCCTCTATTTATAAATAGGTCTCAAATTTTGCCATTGATTCCAATGCATCAGTTACTGATTGGTGCAGATTCAGAAGTGACTCTGGTTCAACTGTGGTCTGGCTCTGACTTGACTCTGGCTTGACTCTGGCTTGCCTCTTGTGGAAGTAGGGCTTGTAGGTGCCACTATTGCACTAGTGTCACCTACAAGCACTTGCTCCACCTTCAAGCCTAGTTTCACCTACAAGCACTTGCTCTACCTACAAGCACTTGCTCTACCTACAAGCACTTGTCTCACCCACAAGCACTAGTTCCACTTTCAAGCCTAGTTTCACCTACAAACACTTGCTCTACCTACTAGCACTAGTTCCACCTACAAGCACTAGTTCCACTTTCAAGCCTAGTTTCACCTACAAACACTTGCTCTACCTACTAGCACTAGTTCCACCTACAAGCACTAGTTCCACTTTCAAGCCTAGTTTCACCTACAAACACTTGCTCTACCTACAAGCATTTGCTCTACCTACAAGCACTTGTCTCACCCACAAGCACTAGTTCCACTTTCAAGCCTAGTTTCACCTACAAACACTTGCTCTACCTACTAGCACTAGTTCCACCTACAAGCACTAGTTCCACTTTCAAGCCTAGTTTCACCTACAAACACTTGCTCTACCTACTAGCACTAGTTCCACCTACAAGCACTAGTTCCACTTTCAAGCCTAGTTTCACCTACAAACACTTGCTCTACCTACTAGCACTAGTTCCACCTACAAGCACTAGTTCCACTTTCAAGTACTAGTTCCACTTTCAAGCCTAGTTTCACCTACAAACACTTGCTCCACCTACTAGTTCTACCTTCAGCCGAGTTTCACCTACAAGCACTAACTCCATCATAATTAGAAACTCAGTGAGATCTATATTTCCTCTGCAACTCAAAGGACAGGAAGTCTAGTGATCATTGGTACATACAAAGTTATCAGAGGGGATCTAAATCCCATTTGTCTTACAAGCGATTGGACATCAATTGAAGACTGTACCTGGAGAAATGAGGCGAGTATTTAGCCCGGGGGTAGGAGAAGGCAGGTCACGGTTAAGTTGGGCACTTGTTACAGCAGGATATGTCTCTGGGGGTGGTCACCAGATCTGAGGGGGTGCCTTGCACGGGACTACTGAAAGATAAGATGTCACACTTGTGAGAATAGGGACTTGGAATTAATTGTTATGGAGTAAATGATGGAGATGGGCTTTACCAGTCACCTGGAACTTTTCACAGTGTTTTATAATGATGACTGACTGACTGAGTTTGGTTTTACGCCACTTTTAGCAATATTCCAGCAACATCACGGCGGGGGACACCAGAAATGGGCTTCACACAATGTACCCATGTGGGGAATCAAACCCGGGTCTTCGGGGTGACGAGCCAACGCTTTAACCACTAGATTACCCCACCGCCCCTTTATAATGATGATGAGCACTGAAGAGATGCTAGACATAGTCCAACTGAAATATATATATGTCAATGTTTTACATGCAAGACATTGATGACTATACTAATGGAAGGATGCAGGTGTTCTGGCAGAACTAGGTGGAAGGGGGGATTTATTTAAGAAAGCAAACATTTGGAAATATAGTATAACATTCTTGTTTATTGTTTAATGGTGCATTCATAGCAGTTTCTTTGTCTTCATTTATATATTATCTACCAAGCCTCCATTCATCCAACTCTTATTGTCATTAATTTATGGGAAATGTTTTCACACCAGTAAATCTTCACCTCTTGAAGAATTTAGCCGAAAAGATTGTGATATTTTCTGTAATTTAAATGAAATCAGAACAAATTTCTACCTTGAATATGTAACTGGAAAATTAGCACAATTAGGCCACAATAAAGGAAATATTTGACTTTTTATCTGATTATCTATTATAGCTGGGATAGATCATCTTACTTTTTAAACTGTAATTATACTTTTGAACACATCAGTGAACGTAACCACTGATAAAAGGCGAGTGACGTGACACTAAAACATCTTGTAGGACTATCTGTAAGACCAAAAAACGATATACATATGTAGTATTCATGGTAAAATATGAGGAGAGTGATTGGTAGTGAAAATCTTATAGTTACTCCATTCTTGCCTTACATGTTTACTTAAAATCTGATCCCAGAAAGCCATGTTTCTTGTCTATTCTCACCAGCCCACCCACCACCACAGATGACAGGTCTTTAAAAGAATACACTTGAAAGGTCCTATTCTTTCAGATTTCTATATTCACATGGCACGTTTCTTCTATATGCCCCACGTTATTGGTTGTGCCAGATACAGGAAGTGATAAGTGATCACGGGAAATAATATTTCCATAAAAAAACCACCTGTGCTCGTGAGTATGCATGAGATAATCAAGTGAAACTAGAAACAACCGTATAGGCCAACCACATGTCAATGAATAAGAAACTTTATGAAGTGACTAAAAAAAACCAGGTCCTATAATATTTAAGGTTCCTTCATAGACAAAAAAATATTTTGAAGTGTTTCTGAAAACAAATTCCAGACTCGCCTTCGAAAACCGAAACAACCCACCCCCCTTCCATAATTAACTGACCAATCACTGCTTCAATATATAGTTACATCAGTAATCACATCACATTCCAAGGATCCAAGTTCCAAGAGTCTTGGAGTGACTTCAAGGTCATAAATGTGTTTAGGGGTGGATAGCATGTATTTAGAACATACAAGATGAAAGACAATCAACACCTTCAGTTTGGTTGTTTTCAAAGGGTGGGATTACACCAGAGTTCAAGTGACCACTATTGACTGTTGACCTATGATATAACAGGACATAACACACCTAACAGTAAAGGGTGGACCAATGACATCCAGCTAGAGTCATCAGTGGAAGATCAAAGGTCATGATGACCCTGCTAGTTAGGAGGAGATAGGTAGCTGGCAATTGACCCTCAAATTGACCCCTAAAAATGGGATAATTTGTAAGCAGGGGTAACAGTGTATCCAAGATCAAAGACCACCAGGTATGAAGGTAGCTAGATAGGTAGCAAGATTGTACATCCTTCTCAGAAATTGGATTAATTTATGGTACAATGGTCAGGTAATGTACTGAAATTAGCAAGGTATGTATTTAGTTTCTGGTGGGTGGTTATCAAAATGGTTTGGTATTTCCGTCCTGGGTAAGGTAGGTCAGCCTGCCAATCACCTGATGTTTAGGAAAACTGTAATGTTGTATAATGTTGTATAATGTTGCATAGTGGTGATGTTCTAGATCAGTTTAAGGTCATGATGGTTGATGAAACAGGAGATGGGTAGGTCCTTAAATTAAGTGAGGTAATATAAAATTGGTCGCCTGAAAACCAGAGCTTCCTAAGTCCATTTCTGACAAAATTAGAGTTAGTATGCTCGGGCTAGGTTTTAGAGCATAATCTATTACTCCAGCAACTTTTTACAGTGCTATCTAGCTTTGATCACATGACATTGAGATTTCCCAATTTTGAAGTGATTTTCATTATGGAAATGGAACATTTAAACTCTGTTCTTATTTCTGCTTTATTTCATTAAATATAGTCCTTATGAAAGTAAAAATGATTTAAACGACAAAAATACAACCTGGTAAAAAAGAAATAACAATCAAATACCCATATAATAATGATAAGGCTGAGGTTTAGCTGTGTTTCTGACACTAAGAACACTTTGGTTTTGAGAAAAAGTGGTCATGTGTTCTATCTCCAATAATTTTTCATGAATTTCTTATTTAATTCAATAGATTGAGCATAGACTTTGAGATTTTCTGAAACTGTTTGACATGTCACATATACACTCTGGTCTTCAATCTGCCCCTGGACTAAGAAAGGTATATTTGTCTGTGAACATCACACAACAGAATTACGCTAAGCTGCAAATAGAAATTTCAGTGTTGATGTACATAAACAACATGAACTCTATGTCCACTGGCAGACACTGGGAAACAAATCAAAGTTGTTTTTCATCTTTTGCATGTGAACAGCACTCACCAGCAACTCAGGTTATGAAATGCATAATCTGGGCTTGGATACAATTCATTTAGGACAATACAAGCACATTTATTAATCACAAAAATATCTGACACAAATTGATTTGAAATTTGACCCTCAATTTGTTGTTGGTTTGAAGGAAAATATATGTAATGATGATGTGTTTGACCTGCTGTTGCTTTTGGCTAAATACTGTATTTATATATGTGGAACATTTTAATCACTTTAAACATTATATCCATACACAGTTTATCATTGAAGAAATGAATTCTTATACCAAAAGCCAACTAGGTAGTTCCCTACTAAGTGCATGTTGTACCATAAACTAGCTAATGTAGATATGTCAATTTCTGATGCTAAGTGATCTAAGTAAATAGGTACAGTAATTCTTGTTTATTTAAATGTATGCTTCGATTTTACTGTATTAAACCTTTATATGGATTAATGCATAATCAGAGTGGATCTGAGTGTGAATGAATGTCTATGTCAGTGTCAAATTAAAAATATATCTGGGTCCATTACATCCATACCTCTAATATGAACCTTACTAATAGGGTTAACATGCAGAACAATGTAATAATCTTGCTTGGTGTTTTATAAAGTTTTCTGTCTATCTTTCCTCATTTGGGCCACATACTAAATTGGGTGTGTGTTCTTATCTGAGACAGGGATGCAGAAAAAAAATATCAATTAAAAAAAGAATTGTCACCCATAACAGGGCTTGACATGTAGATGGGACCATCATGAGCTAACACAGTCCTTTAATAAAACCAAACTGTAGACATGTTCCATACGTGGAACATCATACTCAAATAAATCATTAATATCTTCATCAATAAAGAATTAATTATTAGTTTTGGTGTTAGCAGATATTTTATTCTTAACCATTCAAGGCTTTAAACTTACTAATAACTCAGGACAGATCATCTTTGTCAATTATTTTCTAAAAAATCAATTTACTAATATTTTTCATAAATTTCTTGTATGATTTCAAACAAAGAAACACGAAGAGGTCACAACAATGACATATCACCCTGAATACACCAGTCAATGCTCTCAGTATGTTTTTAAGTAAACATGAATTGGTTTCTCCTTAAGATGTGTTACCAGGGTCTCTGATGAACATACCGGTATATCTCCTTCTGTATCTAAGAGAAGTCAATTACTGAACATTGAGATGCCAAGATGGCCTCCCAACCTTCAATACATGAAGAAGCACACAGGATTAACAGAAGTTCAAACAAGAAATCACTCCATTGTCACTTCCCCTGATAACAAGCCTTACAACAATTTTCAAATCCTGCCAATAATGAAAATAATACACAGAAAGTGATCTCTTAGAAAAATGAAAACTTCAAAGGTTTAATGACAAAACATACGATGAAGCGATTAATTTAGATAAATATTTTAAGAACCATAAAATTAGGACTATACTGCTTTAGTTTGAATAATGAGGACTGGGAGACATGTTTAAGTCAATAATGGTTGTGTAGTTTAGAGATTTGAGATACTTAGGAAATTGGTTTAACCTAATTTCAAATTCAAGTAGTGAAGAAGACCAAGCATATCCAAGTCAATGAGGGTAATATGCCTTGCAAATTGGGCTATGCAAGTCTGAGATTAAACTTTTATCCAACACTGACCTGGTTACATATGTAACAAATCTGGTTTGTAACAGCTCAGTGCGCATGTACCAGACCTTCAACACTGACACTATGTTGTTTCTGATTTAATCGTGTTGCTACAAACAAGGTCGTCTAAAATAACAAAGAATTAGGTTAACTAAGGGACTAGGTGACCTCTAGTCTGACCCTGAAAATTGGGATGATGTTATTTCAGATTCAGATCCATGATCCTAAACAGTATAACACTTTAGGGACCTCAATGCTTAACACTTGAGGTGATGTCTCATAACACTTCATTGAAAACTGACCCTTGAAATTGTTGGTGTTGACCCCAATCAGGGAGTTTTCTTGTCAGAAGACATGATGTTGCTTAACGGAGATCAAAGTGGGAGATAAGGGGTGACATCATGGAGTCATAATGAAGCAGAAAATTAAAGATGGAGGCATGACAAGTGGCGACACCTCGAGGCGAAATGATACACTAACCAAACCAAACAGTCTTTTCTCCACAGCAAGAGATCAGGCAGGATTTCCTAACTTGCATCATCCCTGATAAAAAGTCAATTGCTTCAATCAACACCACTCCCCGCCTTGACCTTGAGGTCACGCTACCCCTAGGGGTACAAAGAGTAAATGAGATCCCTGTAACTGTTTATAGGCAAGACCTGTTTCAAACACAGAGGATATTTAACATA